TCTCCTACCTAATAGGATAGACCTACTTTGGAATTTGAATATTAAGTGCACACAGTTAGTCTGGTCTATAGCATTTTTATATGGATGCAGCAGAATGGTTTGAATGGTTTTGAAGCCCTGGGGCATATATGTGTTGCAGTATCAGCTTATGCAGATAGCCTGCGCTGTATGTTGCAACACATATATTCAAATTGATGTCTGGATCTTGATTAGATTACATTGCTTTTAATGCACTTTTTGGTGCCTTGTGCACTGTGTACGTATTGAGCACTGTGTGTTTATAAACTGAATATAACTGGAAGACTTTTAGCTTTTTTGATACCAATAAGTTGTATAGTTTTTCGTGAAAGCCTTGTTTGCTGTTTGTGTAACCTCTTTTTACCTCCCAGGAGGCTTTACCTCCAGTTTGGGAATTTTTTGGGGGGTTATTTTTGGTTACTACGCCAACACTTAATAAAAGAAATGGCAGGTATATATGTACTAACACTTCCCCTTATTTTGATCTATTTGATATATACTCCATTGGGAATATCTAGCACAAGTGTTAGGGAAATTGGGATTCTTTGGCCAGATTTACTGAGCTATCATGGCACTATATTCTTGCCCATTTGCTAGAATGTATACAAATGCTGTCCTTTCTAGTCCATTTTTTATTACTAATGCTAGTAGACAAGGATGCCCACTATATGATAATGGAACCCCTAGCTGCATACGTACAAACACAACCTGGCATCAATGGATTTACCATAACAAACACAGAACATTGAATTCATCTTTTTGCAGATGATGTCATCTTAATGTTGACTGACCCTGAATGTGATGATACATCACATTATTCACCTATTTAAGTCAGTAATTTATTACATTAATGACTCAAAGTCCATGATTTTGGATTTATAAATAACTGAATCTGTTAAGGAACCTTTATGTGCCCTATACCCTTACTCCTGGGCAGATTCTGGCATAGATTACTTAGGGATAACCTTGACTAGGAAACAGTCCCTTCTATTTAAGGAAAATTATGACTTTCTACTAGATACGCTGCGTAAAGACCTTAAATCCTTGGCTACTCACAACTTATTGTGTTCTGGAAGACTTGCATCCTTTAAAATGATAGTTCTTCACACAATCTTATAAATGCCCAGGTCTCTACCAATATGTATACCACAAACATATTTCTGTAAGCTACAGCCTATAATAATATGTATATTTGGCAGGGTAAAAAAACACACTGTGCTCATTCCAAAATCATTAAGAATAAATGGCAGGTGGGATTAGAATGATAGATATCTATGGCTACTCTATAGCTACAATTTTAGCACATAAAAAGAATGGACTTGTACCACCCCGACCACATTATGGGTTACTCTAGAAACCTACACTACTCTCCGGGGAAAAATCTATTGTCATGGTTGCTTAGCTCTTTATTTACAGAGCAAAAGATAGATCATCTTTCTTCTGCTGTGCAAGCTTCTCTGAAAGCCTGGAAAGTATTGATAGCTTCCACAGTAGGCGACCACCCAAAACCACTACGTATTCCCATTACTATTTCCTCATTATGCAATCCTGACCTATCATTGTCTTCTTGGTCCACTTATGGTATTACATGGCTTGAGGACCTTTACCACAAGGGGAACCTCAAAACGTTTGAATCTCTCCAACAAGAATCTCACTTACCTACTTCAGAAAACTATAAATATATACAAATCTCTACCTTCCCTAGACAATGTTAATATACATGTTAACGCATGATTATACTTATTCTGTGACCAGATGAAAGGCATTTTGCTTTTCTGTAATCTTCTTCGAGAGAAATCCATATTGATTAAATCATTGAATATGGAACACTGGGAGGGGATCTGAATTCTCAATATTCCATATCACAATGGTCCAAGGCTATTAGAGGTAATTACAAAGCTACGTCTAATGTTAATCTATGGGAATTTTCCCATAAAATTCTACTACAGTGGTATCTTACACTATCCAGTATTTCTAAATTTGCTCCTTATATGCACCAGGAATGTTGGAGACTGTGTGGTGAAAAGGACATGCTGTACCATATACTATAGTCTTGTAAAAACATCCAAGGATTTTGATCGCAAATCTTTAAAACTATAGCAGAACTGTCAGGTTTACTAACCCAACCATCTCCGAGATTAGCCTTATAGGATATTCCCTACCACCTTTTGACTATAGTCATTCATATATTATTAGCAGCTAGATTGCTGATAAATAGAAACTGGAAAACCATGCAAATCCCTAGCTTATTACCTATTTTAGGTTCAATCCACACACACTGCCAATATGAATGTTGGCCAAACTAATGCTGGTGTCAAGTAAAGGTATGTTCAGTAAGTCCATGGAAGAGTGGCTAGCATGATTGACCTAGTATAATTTAAAACTAGGATCTTAGATAGCGAGGCCATTTTTCCCTTTGTGTGTTGATGATATCCAGATTATATGATACTTAGATACAAAATTGATGCTTTTAACTCCATTTTCAAAGTGTTCTTGTTATTTGTTGAATAGCAATTGTTTTAAATACTTTTGTACTTGGTTTATTTGAACAGACCAGTAGTTTATTATGTCTTCTAACTTGAATTGGAAACTGGATTCTTAATGAGCTCTACTGTTTAAAACATTTTATACAAATTATTGAAAAAGAAAAATACCATTATGGTCTTCCCTACCAGAAGCTGTTTACTGGTTCAGAACAATGCACTTTGTTTACATATTATTTTAAATTGAGAGAAATCTTGATCTATTTGTGTCAGTTTATGTTAACTCCCCATTACTAAATGTGCAAAAAAAGTCTACATTTGTATCTAGTTTGTTATTAATAGGTAAGTGATCTATCTATCTATCTATCTATCTATCTATCTATCTATCTATCTATCTATCTATCTATTTTATTTTTGTGAATTTGCAGAATAAATTTTAATTTAATTAAAACATTTGGTGTTTATAGGTATGCAGATTTATGTCTGAGATTCCAGGGGGTGTTTGTCAATTACACCTATAAAATGTAGATTGAGTAATAGCCTCTTGGCTTTCACAACATGCCTGAGAATTTAAATCTTCATTGGTTATATTCCAGGTGTTCTGATATTTCTGTGATACAGACTCTATAACTTTGATTGTCGAATGTAGCTAAATGTAATATCTTCTTGATTCTCTTATTTTCGCATTATAAATATAGTCTCACAATCCACAGAATTTGGCTCTTGATTACATAAAGTACTACAGGTACAGCAAGCATGTCCCCCACCATTCCTGAACCATACTAGGCCACATGCCTTTCTACATGAGAGGATACTTACCTCCATGGGTGCTGAGCTGTCCATGCCCACGCAGCCAATGTAGTGGGCTGGGGATTTGAACTCTTTGCTCTTCTCCCTCTGTGCAGCACTTCTGAGATGTATTGGTCAGTAGTGGCACAGAGCAAAACTCTAATTGGTCCCAGAAGCGCTGTACAGAGAGGAGGGAGTACAGTGGGGATTTCAAATCCTCAGTGCACTACATGGGCTGCATGGGCACTTATAACTCAGTACCCACAGAGGTAAATGTAGGGGGGACCTGGGGGTGGGGAGGGTGTACGGTGTTAGTTCCTTTTTCATTTTTTCTGTAAAGGTGCTCTAATACTTTAATTCTAAATTCTGCATAGGATATTTGCTGAACAATGGTTCAGTCTGAATTCCTGCAACTCTCGATCAAGATCAATTTGACTTTGTTTTTGACCCGGCTACTGTCTGACCTGCTTCTGGATTATCCTTTTCTGCCTGTTTGCTGCTCGTCCTTGTTACTGATCTCGACCTGACCAAGATCTTGACTATTGAGTGTATGCACATTGCCAGCCTCTGCTTTTTCCTGAACTAGATCCTGTCTACAATTTGGTGCCTTTCGGCTTGGCTGGTATGAATCCCCTCTTCTGACCTGACTCCATTTATGTTTAATCTTGTTTTAATATGTTTTCAATACAGCAAAGTACAAAAAGAACAATGCACATGATGGACCATAGTGTACCTGACTACATTTATAACCGTAGTTGGTATCCCAGGTGCCCTATCAGATTTACTTTTGCTTATTTGATACAAGTGCTCCCAAGTTTTCTCACTGACAGCTGAATGTAAACAAAAGAATGCCGGCAATGAAAGATAAAGAAAAAAACAGCGTGAAATCCCCCATCCATACCAGACCCTTTGGCTCTGGTATTGAATTTAAGGGGAACCCCATGCCAGAATAAAAAAAACTGCATGGGACCCCCCCAAAATCCATACCAGGTCAGGAAAGGGGGGATAAGCAAGGAGTCCCCCCCTCCTGAACCATATCCAGGACACATGGCCTCAACATGTGAGGTGCTTTGGGGCGGGAGGGACCCACTGACAGCTGATGGGTCATTGGTTGTTAAGAACGTGGTGGCCGGCTTCCTGGCTCTCTCCTTAACAACCAGTTATTCTTCACTCAGAATTCAGATTGGTCAGTAAATTTTCAACCGATTCGAATTTGAATCGTTCTTAAATTTTGGAATTCATTATAACATGAATAAACAAAATGAAACTAAATTAACCACTAGCCTAAAGGATACTTATACCCCCTTCCTGCCCAGGCCAATTTCCAGCTTTAAGCGCTGTTGCAATTTGTATGACAATTGCGTGGTCATGCAACACTGTACCCATATGAAATTTTTATAAATTTTTTGTGACAGATAGAGCTTTATTTTGGTGGTATTTAATCACCTCTGGGTTTTTTCTTTTTTCTTAAACAAACCAAAAACCACTGAAAATTTTGAAAAAAAAGTTTTTTCTTAGGTTTTGTTATAAAATTTTGTAAATAAGTGATTTTTCTCCTTCACTCGTCCACTAATGAGGCTGCAGTGATTGGCACTGATAGGCTGCACTGATGGACACTGATAGGTGGCACTGATGGGCACTGATGAAGAGGCACTGGTAGGTGGCACTGATGGGCATTGGCAGGCATCACTGATGGGCACTGAAATGCAGCACTGAAGGCGGCATGCAGCACTGATAGGCGGCACTGACTGGCACTGTTAGGTGGCACTGACTGGAACTGTTAGGCGGCACTGATAGGCAGCACTGACGGGCACTGATAGGTGGCACTGATGCACACTGATAGGCGGCACTGACTGGCACTGATAGGTGGCACTGATTGGCAGCACTGATAGGTGGCACTGACTGGCACTGATGGGTGACACTGAAAGGCAGCTCAGATGGGCACTGATATGTGGCATTGATGTGCACTTGTAGGCGCTGAAACGTGGCATTGATGTGGCACTGATGAGCACTGACAGCTGGCACTGATGGACACTGACAGGTGGCACTGCTGGGGCTACACAGATCATCAGGGCATACTGATCATCAGTGCCCTGATGATCAATGTAGATGTCCCCTCTGAGGGTTGCCGCTTAACTGCTCTCCTCTCCTCTCGAGCTGTCAGTGTGACAGCTCGTGAGGAGAGAAATGCCGATAACCGGCATTTCCTATTTACATGCGATCAGCTGTGACACAGCTGATCACATGACCAAGGCGACATCTTCAGCTCTTTCCGTTGATTGGTGATCTGCTGTGTCCAAAGGACACAGCGCACCGCCGATCGCTGCGCGCTCCCGGAGCAGCGCATGCGCAGTTAGAATGGAAGGATGTCATATGACGTCCTCCCAGAATGAGAGAACCGCCTTGCGCCCGTCATTGTACTATATGGAGGGCGGGAGGCGGTTAAACACATTCCAAAATGAATCTACAAAATTAAATTAGTAACAAATTTATCCAATAGGAAACTATTTTTTCCATTCTGCACATGTCTAAGCATGAGTTGTATTTTACCGTGTCATACTCAAAGCCACATTAAAAGTACCCTCTGCCTTATGTATGCTATTTCTGTAGGTAACACTTTTATTTTGCTTTCAGAAATGCCCCCCTATGGCAGTGCCCAGCTCCCCATGCAATGTTTGATAACAATTTGACTATAAGCCTTAAAATTGAAACGTGGTTTGAAGCAAGGTTCAATGAACCCCTTGTGAATCAAACCTGCCATATTCATCCTGAACCAGTATTAGTTACAAGCTCATCATACCTGGGTTCAGTTCAAGGTGGGTTCAGCAAAAAACATATTAAGTGGTGGATCCAAACTATATTGAAACCAATGGGAGCGTAATGTTAAAAACACCCATGGTAATTTTCTAGAATAATTGGCAATGAATTTTAAATAAAGGCGTGGGGGGCTTACCCAGAAGAACACAGAAAGTGGAATGGTTAAAATGCAAAACTGCATTAAATAACATACCTGGGGAATACCCTGACCCCTCTGACTGTGAAGTGGCACATCTCTACAATGTATGCAACCTACCGCAAAATTTACATTTACAAAGAAAATACATTCTTACCCAGTATCCATATATGGGAGTACAGGATGCAATGGTATCAATTCATTAATGGTTTAATCCAAGATTTCCACAACCTTCACTCAATGGTCACATTTTTCAATTTAGCCCAATTAAAAAATGTGTGAATCTTGGGTAAAAGCATTGATAAAAACATTTAAATGTGTTTTAGAATATAAATCTATAGTAATACTGTGAAATACAATATATGTGTATATATATATATATATATATACACACACACACAATATTGCCAAAAGTATTGGGAAGCCTGCCTTTACACGCACATTAACTTTAATGGCATCTCAATCTTAGTCCGTAGGGTTCAATATTGAATTGGCCCACCCTTTGCAGCTATATTATTATTATTATTATTATTATACAGTATTTATAAAGCGCCAATAGTTCGCTCAGCGCTGTACATTACAGAGGGGAACAGAACATGTGACAGAACAATACCAATACAATGCAAAACATGAGGGGACCGAGGGCCCTGCTCTTTCGAGCTTACAATCTAGGAGGGAGGGGATGGTGGCACAGGAGGAGATAGCTGTGGGGGATGGAGTGGTAGGAAGAGTGGAGGAGGTCGGCAAGTTAGCAGGGGGCGGGGTAGGCTTCCCTGAAGAGATGGGTTTTCAGGGTGCGCCTAAAGGAGAGGAGAGTAGGTGATAATCTGATGGGTTGGGGCAGGGAGTTCCAGAGGATGGGTGACACCCTGGAGAAGTCCTGGAGGCGGGCATGGGAGGAGGAGACCAGGGAACTAGAGAGAAGGAGGTCTTGTGAGGAGCGGAGTGTGCGTGCTGGGCGGTACTTGGATATTAGGTCAGTGATGTAGTTCGGGGCAGTATGGTGGACAGCTTTGTACGTCAGCGTTAGGATTTTGAATTTGATCCGTTGCGCAATCGGAAGCCAGTGGAGGGATTGGCAGAGAGGGGTGGCGGAGATGGAGCGGTTGGAAAGGTGAATGAGTCTGGCAGCCGTATTCAGGATGGACTGAAGCGGGGATAGCCAACGGCGAGGCAGGCCAGTGAGGAGGGAGTTGCAGTAGTCGAGTCGTGATATGATGAGGGAGTAGATGAGCTGTTTAGTGGTTTCTGGAGTTAGGAACGTGCGGATTTTGGCGATGTTGCGGAGGTGGAGTCTGCACGAGTTTGTTAAAGAGTGGACTTGGGGCTGAAGGATAGGTTGGAGTCCAAAATGACACCAAGTACTCTGGCCTGCGGGGCGGGTTTGATGGTGGCGTTGTTGGACATGATGGAGAAGTCAATAGGGGGTGGTGTCCGGGCTGCAGGGAAGACAAGAAACTCGGTTTTGGAGAGGTTCAGTTTAAGGAAGTGGAGCGACATCCAGTCTGATATGTCGCTCAACAGGTGTGTGATTCGGGCGGAGACCGAGGGGGTGAGGTGGGGGGTTGAGAGATAGATTTGTGTGTCGTCGGCATAGAGGTGGTAGCTGAAGCCGTGAGAGTGTATGAGTTGGCCAAGGGAGGAGGTGTAGATGGAGAAGAGAAGGGGCCCGAGGACAGAGCCTTGAGGGACCCCAACAGAGAGGGGGAGTGAGAGGGAGGTGGTGGTATTATAGGTAACGCTGAAAGAGCGTTGTGACAGGTAGGATGAGAGCCAGGAGAGAGCAGAATCTCTGAGGCCAAGGGAGTGTAGTTTTTTGAGGAGGAGGGGGTGGTCGACTGTGTCAAAGGCTGCAGAGAGGTCAAGGAGTAGGAGCACTGAATAGTGGCCATTAGCTTTGGCGGTTAGAAGGTCGTTGGAGAGTTTGAGTAAGGCAGTTTCGGTGGAGTGTAGGGGACGGAAGCCAGACTGTAGGGGATCGAGGAGGTTGTTGTCGTTGAGGTGAGAGCATAGGCGGGCGTAGACTAGGCGCTCGAGGAGTTTAGATGTAAATGGGAGCAGGGAGATGGGTCTGAGGTTGTTCGGGTCATTGGGGTCCAGGGAGGGCTTTTTAAGTATGGGGGTGATGTGTGCATGTTTCAGAGGGGAAGGGAAAGTGCCGGAGGAGAGGGAGAGATTGAAGATGTATATGAGCTGCAACTCTTCTGGGAAGGCTGCCCACAAGGTGTAGGAGTGTGTCTATGGGATTGTTTGACCATTCTTCCAGAAGTACATTTGTGAGGTCAGGCACTGATGTCGGACGAGAAGGCCTGGCTCGCAGTCTCCGCTCTAATTCATCCCAAAGGTGTTCTATCGGGTTGAGATCAGGACTCTGTGCAGGCCAGTCAAGTTCCTCCATAAAGAGTGCCAAACTCACTCTTAATCTTATTAAACACAGACACTAAACTATATGCAAAAGTTCTGGCAAAAAGGTTAAAAGACCATATGCCGGAATGGATAGGGTCAATAAACCCGAAAAATAAAAAGAAAGTTATAAATGAAGCAGGCATATTTAATCTCAGCAAAGCAGAATTATCAGCTGATGAGCTTGATTTATTAAACAAAGGGCTCAAATTTGCACCAAAAGTGACCCTCAACAAATTTCAAACCTACATCGACATAAGAAAATTTGTTAGGCAAATATCTCTCAAGAAATACTTTTTAAACAACCCCATTACACGTAATACTTCTTAAGAAGGTAATATTAATTCCAACTTGAGAAATGCATCGTTATTCAATCCCCCAATACAATCACTTACTTATATCAATGCATTTCGGGATACAGTCTTCAAAGACCTTAAGAACCTAGAAGTTAAAAAAGTGAGGGATCAAACAACTTGTAAAAAAGCTATAAATTCCCTTGTGGTCCGACCGGCAGATAAAGGGGGAGGGGTTGTCGTTTTATCTAAAACTGACTATATTAAAGAAGTCAATAATATTCTTAGTGACAAAAATACCTACCTTTTACTAAATATGAATCCCTTGGGCCCTTACAAAAAAATTCTCAAAACTATTATTCATAAAGGCTATGATAACAAGGTGATAAAAAGGAAAGAGATTTTCTTTGCCCCTCTGCTCCCCAACTGCCCGTCCTTTATATATTACCAAAAATACACAAAAATCCAACCAACCCCCCAGGAAGACCCATCATCAGCGGAATCGGATCATTGTGCTCAAGGGCAGGGGAGTACATAGATCATTTTCTGCAACCTTTAGTCACAAAAACACCATCATATCTACGTGACACTAAACAAGTCTTACAAGATATTAGAAACATAAAGATAGAACCCAAGGCATTTCTTGTTACTGCAGATGTCACATCACTATACACGAACATAGACCACAATGATGGCATGGAGACAGTACGTTTTTATTTGAATGATTTTACTGGGATGTCCTTTTTACACAAAGATTTTATACTCCAGCTTTTAGAATTTGCGATGACCAAGAATTCCTTTTGGTTTAACAACCAATTTTATCTACAAAAGAAGGGTGTTGCAATGGGAGCTAAATTCGCTCCCAGCCTGGCTAATTTATTCATGGCCAGGTGGAGGAGGATATATTATATGCAGAGACTGGCCAGAGCTCTCATTTTATAGACGATATATTGATGATATATTTTTAATTTGGAATGGAGATGAGCAGACACTAGTGAATTTTTTTGGCACTTTAAATTACAATACACTCAATATCAAACTGACTTATGAATACAGCACCCAGAGTGTACATTTCCTGGATTTAACATTGTTTAATCAAGGAGGGAGGATTATAACTGAATCTTTCTTCAAATCAACAGACAGAAATAGTTACATCCCCCTCAATAGTTGTCACCACCCTATCTGGCTACAAAACATTCCAAGGGGTCAATTTCTCAGGATCAGGAGAAACTGCACCAGTATTGACACCTATTTATCCCAAGCTACTATCCTTAAAAACAAATTTACAGAAAAAGGATACGATGAGAGCACACTCAACAACACCATTAATGAGGCTGCTATGATTGATAGAGATGATATTTTGAACAAAGAGATTAAACAAAGACCATCTAAATTATGTCCCTTTGTTACGAATTACTCGATACAACATAAAGCGGTTGAAAAAATGATTAAAGACAATTGGAAGATATTAAAAGCAGACCCTTCGCTATCAAGCTTTTTACCAGATAGGCTGGAGATCACATTTAGAAAAGCCATGCCTGTACGCAATAAAATAGCCCCAAATGTGATCAACCCTCCTATCAACACTACTTTCTTTGC